GTGATTAGAATAGAGTGAATTTATCTTGAAAAAGAAAGTTAAATACATTAGCTTTATTGATTGTCAAAAACGCGTAAATATGATTAAACTATATAATGGAGAATTGAAATAAATAGTAATAGACGGATTTAAATTCCAATACAATCAACCATAATTTGATTAAAAAAAATTATCGCTTTCTTAGATGAATAATTTAGATCAATTACAAAAATCAAATTTATTTTGTTCACATAATTCGAATTCCATAAAAAGTTAATAGACTTGAATTGAAATTTATTTCTCGTGGGACAATAATTCTTCTCATCACATCCATTACTTGTCAACGATCTCGTACACTTACGAATTTTGCACGAACATTGATCATTATATGCAGTTATTGAAGGTGGTGTTGGGAGTTGGGAGCTGTTACAGGGATGGGTGTGGAGAATAAATGGCACGTTCTTCCTTTTTCTTTATCACCAAACATCTGGTCCCAATCTACATTTACTGTTGCCCATGACCTTACGTTATTCATATATTTAATCAAAGCACATTGCATTATACCTCTGTGTTGAGATGAGATCGGAAACTGCTAGAGTGCGTGGTGCTTTACAAGAGCATGCATGGACATTAGACTCGATTGCGCGTGTATTGTGCCCTTCGGTATACAAAATGCAGTTTGGCAGAAGCTATAAAAGACTAATTTCCAAGCACGAGCAAGTAAACCAGAAGAAAAATAAGCGAATTAATTCCAATCTAAGTCTCGTCTATGATTAATTTCCGAATAGTAACTGAATTTTTTCAAAAGATCCAAAAGGAAACAACCCTAAGTGAAAGAGTTACCAAGAAGAAGACGGACGAAAATGAAGCAACAGTCGTGATGCAAATGGTACAAACTAACAAAAACTAGCGATGTATTAACCAAAACTGCACTTGTTTACCGTCCACTTAGTTTGTCTTCGCTTTAGGGGCCTTCTTCTTTGGTGATCTCCTTGGCATTGAGTTCTTCATGCCAATGAAAAACAGCAGTGCCCCGAACAATGCCAGACTCTGGCTAAACTTGACAAAGAGTTGGGCGAATTCTTTCTTGTCAGCATCATAGTTGT